TTTTTGTTCAAACCTCTGGAAATCACCTCTACTATCCAAGTATCATCATAGTCATGAGTTTCCATACTGATTGTATCTTGAAAATATTCCTCTTAGGGTGCTGATCTTGCCTTTAAGGCCTAATTACCCTTTTGCATTGTGCATTAGCATTTTCAAATGTCAGAGATTCAGTTATTATTTGTCTAGCTTCTGAATTTGCTATAATTCAATTTACTGCTGAAGTCACTCTTTGTAAGAAATTAGTGAAGGTTTCTCTTGGGGCTTATATAACTTTAGTAAATAACTCTATTTTCCTTCCTACTTCAATTCTGTCCCAAGCATTCAACACTGCTATGTGGCATAAAACCAGGGTGTGGTCTTCATATAGAGATTGCCTTTGTATATTTGCATAATCTCCCTCTCCAAGAACTTGGTCTTTGGAGATTTCCACACCTTTAGCCCTACTTCATTTTTCAATGGTCTTAGCCTCGTCTTTCCACTAGGTCTTCACTGTAACTGAGGACCAGGCTCCAAGACTGCTGTAATCAAGTCTCCTTAATATTATACTATCCCAGGGGCCCAGAAGGGATGCTACCATGAGCATGGGAATGAATCCAGATGCACGAAGCTCTTTTGTCCAATTCATTTATTTGTCTGCCACCATCATTTGGCCACCAATTCAACTCTCTCAATTCAATCCTCTCAATTCAACTTTCCTCATTCTCTCAGGACTGGTCTATATCTTTTCCCAAGCAACACCTCATGTTTAGTATACAGCACAAGATTGCAAGGTCCCCACCAGAAGCTTCCTGGTTTTTATTTGCAACCCAAAAGGGGAGAAAACAAGAGTAGAGTCAGATAGCAGTTGCAATAAATCAGAAAAGGAATTTATGTGCTAGAAATATATCCTTACTCTGGTTAGGTGAAAGCATTATGAGTCTATCATAAATTTATTCAACTACGAATTTGCAGGTGATAGGGTAGGAAAAATCTGTAGGTCACTAAAAGTTAAAACTGTCACTATTTTCCTCTGCTGCCAGTTTCCTGACAGGATGGGAGAGGAGTACTAATAGCTAGTCAATCTGCATCACAACTTGAAATACCTGGTGAGAGGAAACCCCTTTGATCTAAGAAGTTGCTCTGGGGCAGTGAAAAAGAGGGGAAGACCTGAACTTGATTTGCACAAGAAACAGAGCTATGCATCTAGGGGACAGGCACTTGGCCTGGGAGACATGTTGTCTCCAAAAGGACGTTTTATATTAGTTCAGGGGCGGGGGTGGGGATGGTTTCAGTAGTCTAGCAGGTGGTCTGGTAGCTATCTGTTCCTCACTTGCCTTTTAAGGCTTTGTTTGGAGTTGGCTCTATCTTAGGAAGTAACTTAGGGAGGATATTTGCAAAAGGCAGATACCCAAAACAAATGCTAAAGAGGAGTCAGGAGTCCAGAGGCAGAAGGTTCTGTCTATGTGACTTTATCCAAATATTTTGAAACAAAGATTCACACACACATATACATTTTAGGAGAATTATGAGCACAAGGACTTCATAGCAAGGCACAGCTGAATATTAAGCTGTGTAACACCAAATAGTCCCTGCTAAATGGTTTCCCACTTGACTGACCCTTGGTCTGGTCAAGGTATAACTTAAAATATACAGCTGGACTTCTATTTCATAGCTCTGGGGCTCACCACAATTCTCTCCAATCTTGAGGGATAATTCTGTTATGAGTTAACCACAATTTTAACATCTGCTTCACAAAAGGTGAATATATGCTGTATGAGACTATCACTTCCTTGAATCTCTGTAGCCAGAGTTTTCCTGGTCTTGCCTGGCCCATGGTCAGGACAAATCTCTCTCACCCGCCAGTCCCACAGTCTCTCAGACCCAACCAAGTAAACACACAGAGATTTATATTGCTTATAAACTATATGGCCATGGCAGGTTTCTTGCTATCTAGTTCTTCTATCTTAAATTAACCCATTTCTATTAGTCTGTAAGTTGCCACGTGGCTCGTGGCTTACCAGTACCTTACATCTCACTTGTCATGGCAGCAGCTGGCAGTGTCTCTCTGCTTCAGCCTTCTACTTCCCAGAATTCTCCTCTTTCCTTGTCCTGCCTATACTTCCTGCCTGGCTACTGGTCAATCAGTGTTTTATTTATTAACCAATCAGAGCAACACATTTAACATACAGAACATCCCACAGCAAATCTCCTCAAATCTAACATTTGCACAGGAGTCCATTCAGCTCTTACACAGCCTTGGGGATATCTATCATTTGTCAGTTCCTGTAAGGTTACCAGATAAATTAAGGTTGGTTGTTTGAAAACCTTAGGCTGTTCCTCTGTAACTTTATAATGCAATGCTGAGATTAGTTGTCCTTTAAATTCTTCTGTCTGGGTGTGAATACCTCTATGATCTGTTTTAATAAGTTTTTCTAAAACTTTTATCTTGGTGCTTATATTACCCAACTGCTGTGGGATGTCTTTCTGTATGCTGTAAATATGTGTTGCTCTGATTGGTTGATAAATAAAACACTGATTGGCTAGTAGCCAGACAGGATATATAGGTGGGGCAAGCAGACAAAGAGAATTCTGGAAAGAGGAAGGACTGAGTCAGGAGTTGCCAGTCAGACACAGAGGAAACAAGATGATAAGGCAGAACTGAGAAAAGGTACCAAGCCACATGGCTAAACATAAATAAGAATTATGGGTTAATTTAAGTGTAAGAGCTAGTCAGTAATAAGCCCGAGCTAATGGCTAAGCAGTTATAATTAATATAAGTTTCTGAGTGGTTATTTAATAAGCAGATCATGGGACTGCAGAGGCCTGGCAGGACCAGAGAAACATTTGTCCTACAACCAAATTTTTTAATGATAAAACAAAAATGAATAAACAGATAATATTTATAATTGACATTACATAAATCCCATCTAAATTAATTATCCTCTCTTTTAATTGCTCGATTTTCAAACCATACAGTGTCTTATCACACAGAGACCTAACTCCCTCCATTGTAATAGTGTTCCCCATTTTTTAATGTGGGAAAAAAAAAACTCTTTTAACTTATTCCTCACATTAAGAAATGCCAATTGTCTCACCAAATCTGCCGACAATGATGATTCAGATGTGAAGCTGACTGCTTCTACATAGAACAGTGAAAGCCTGAGCAAGTTTCAGCTACTTAGTGTGGTAGTAGCCTGAGGAGGGGGTCCAGGGAGAGTTCACAACCCACTGGGAGAGAAGAAGCCATAGAGACAGCCATCTGCACCGGGGACTGTCGGAAGAAAGCGGCTAACTCCTGCTGTTTTGGGATCCCACAGCCCTGTAGTGTTTGCTGCAGATAGGCTCCAACAGGAACTTTAGCCAGCGGGATAGTGACTCTGGTCACGTGCAGCTCTGGCCTGTGCCAGTGGCTGCAAAACCACAGGCAAGTGGCTTTTTAGTGAATTCATGCCCCAAAAGTTGGACACTAGATATAGCACGAATCCTAATTGGCTTTAATAATGAAAACCCGGATTCAGATCTAGGGGTAAATGCTGAAAGATCAGAGAGACAAACAAGCAAGCCACAGCCACTTTTTACCTTTACCAAATCTGCCTGAAAGGGCCTCTGAGCTCCTGTCTCTTCCTGCCTTATAAGTCCTCTCTCTGCCCAACCATATCACTTCCTGTCTTCACCTCCCTAGTGCTGGGATTAAAGGCATGAGATCCCAAGGGCTGGAATCAAAGGTGTGTGCCACCACTGCCTATCTCTGTTTCTCTTTTAGACTAGTGTGGGGGAACCCACCCCATTTTTTTCCCCAGGGTACTCTTGAGGAGAAAAGGATAAGAGATATTAGGCAGGAGGATAGAGAGTAGAGAAACAGAAACACAGGATAGCCTCAGGATGGACTGGATCAGTATCCATTGGCTCCTTTTGTCTCTTCTAAAGAGCCTTTTACAGGAATGCCAAAGGGTGGAGCAAAAGACCTCCCCCTAGCACAGCCAAGTGCAGACCCTTCCAATCACCTGGTAAAATCATACGTGTGGTCAAGCAATTCTCTAATGCAGCCCTGTTGGGTTAAGCAAGCTCAGATCTCACTAGGAAACCTTTGTGGGCCTCCATAGACTGGATCAATCTTGTGTAGCCCAAGGTGGCCTTGAACTCACAGAGATTAAAGTTGTGTGCCACCACTGCCTGGCCTCCATGGCCAACTAGTGGCTTAGCTCTGCACTCTGATAATCAGGCAAGCTTTAAACACAACAAGCTTTAAATCACAAACAAAATATTACCACAACAATGTTCTATTTTATAAGAACAGAAATGAAGCCTAGAAAGGAGAAGAAATTAGCTTGTAGGTAACAGATTAGGATTAGATTAGGGTTAAAACAGGATAGGGATTAAAGGTAAAAATTTCCCCCATAGACTCATGTATTTGAACATGTGGTACTCAGATGGTAGCTCTGTTTTGGGAGTTATGGAAACTTATGGACAGATGGAAATTTCTGTGGATCAGGCTTTAGGGATATAGCCAGTCGTTGGTTCCAGTCCCTTCTCTGTTTCCTGAATGCCACCATGAGGATATGGCTTATAGGCCATAAGACCTGCTTTGTGGTAGGAATGTGGACAAGTCTGAAGCTGAGTGCTAGAGAAGAATGCTGTGGGCAGAGCGCAATGACTCATCCTACTGTAGAAGACAGCATGACAATTGAAACAGACAAGAAAGGCTGGCCCAGGAGACTGGAAAGCAAAGGGTCTGTTGTGAACTGAGATAGAAGCCATTTGTGTTACATTCTGGCAAAGGGTCTATATTCTATATCCTGAAATTTAAAATGAGGCTTAATGCAAATGAAGAAGATTGATGTGTGTGTGTGTGTGTGTGTGTGTGTGTGTGTGTTTTGAAGAAATTTCACAAGGGAAAACAAATTTCTTTAGAAGAACATTACGTATTTGTTTAGAAGGCACATGCACTGTATGCTACTGAACAGTTTCAATTACATGAATCCTTGTGTATATTGAGATAGTGCACTCTAACTTCTCTGTAGGAGTGTCCTGCACTTTGCCTGCTTCTATGGATATCTAGACCTGGTGAAATACCTCTGGAGGCGTGGCTGTGAGATTAATGCATGTGACAATCATAACATCACACCCCTGATGAAGGTAGACCATAGCCATCATTTTAAGTATGGGATGCTTTTAATTGAAGTAAAAACGAATTCATCTCATGTAAATATAATTAATTGGTGAAACCCATGAGTATGTATTGTAAATTCTTTAAGTTGACCGTGTGCTTCTTATTACTATCCCTCCAGGCTGTCCAAAGCTGGGAAGAGGAAATCGTGTGTTTTCTGCTAGAGCATCATGCTAACCTGCACATTAAAGACAGCAATGGCAATACTGCTCTCCACTATGCTGTCTATGGTGGGGAGCCAGCCCTGGCTGCCAGGCTGCTACAGTATGGAGCAAATATTGAGGAAAGAACAAAAGTAAGGATCACTCTGCTTAGAAACTCCTGGGATGTTTGCAGGGCTAGTCACTCATGCTTAGAAGCGCACTTCATTTTCTGAGTTACAATGCTTAGACATTTGGAAGGGAAACCATTTTAAGTATTGATACTTTGGAAGGTACAGCTTTCTTCTGTACATTCAGGATAAATGTATGTGAAAACACTGAATTTGTTAAAGGTGAGATTTGTGTTTTATTCAATAACCTTTTAAACATTTTTTGGTAAAAATTAAGAATCAACACAATAAAGCAGTATTAGCCTTGCAAATAAGCACCATCTTAAAACTCAACCAAAACCAAAGTATTTTGAATTAAGTGGAAACATTAATGCTGTTGACAACTTCTGTCTGTCAGTCACTTATCTAGTCATGGCAGTTCTAGTGGGAGAATAATGGAAACAGAAATTAAGTAGAAATATTCAAGCCAATTTGGAAGTTATGTAATCAACACAAAATGCCCAGAAGGCTTTGTTAATTGTTAGCATTTTTCCAAGTTTCTTTGCGTGGATGGGGTATTCTTTGGCTTTCAACTCTTTAAGTTGGAATTACTGAGAAAAGGGGATCATCGAGAACATAAGATTTGAATTTTTGATTTAGGAAGAGGCTGTAAGGAAGACAGAACATAAAGATTGGCCCTAGTAGGGGTGCTATACTTAAATTTAATCTCATAAAATAGCTTTTGAATATTCATCACAATAATGTGATGTTATTTGCAGAGAAAGGTCATAGATTTGACTGTTTTTGTTGTTGTTATTATTTTTGAGATTGTAATTTAGTTACAAGTTTCTCTCTTTCCTCCCTCCAAATCCTCCCATAAAGCCCTCCCCTTCTCATTCAAATTCACGACCCATTTTTCATTGTTATTACATATACAAATGCATATATATACATATATTCATAAGCATAACCCATTTAGTCCATATAATGTTATGTTGTATGATGTGTATGTATGTTTTCATGGCTGACTGTTTGGCACCCAACAACCAATTGGTGTGCTCTTCCCTGGGGAGGACCACCTCTCCTGCCCCCAGCTTTACTCAGTTGTCTGTAAACAACCATTGGTGTGCTCTTCCCTGGGGAGGACCACCTCTCCTGCCCCAGTTTTACTCAGTTGCCTGTATTTCTTTGTGTAGGGTTGAGGCCCCTTGAGCTTTGTCCCATCCAGTTTGGCACGTTCATTGGTGTTACCCTTGTTCAGCACACATTTCGGGCCGTTATGTTGGTGGGATTTTATGGGTGCAACTTCTGATGTTCCTAGGGGACAATCTTACAACAAACTCCTTGATCCTCTGGCTCTTACAGTCTTTTTGCCCTGTCTGCAGCAATGTTTCCTGAGCTTCAGGTGTGGAAATATTTTGTAGGTGTAGCCATTGGACTGGGCTACACAACTCTGCATTTGGATTGGTTGTGGTTTTCTGTAGTGCTGTGTGTTGCAAAGAGACGTTTCCTTGGTGAGGTATGAAGACCACACTTCTTTGTTGCTATACAGAAGAAGGTGGGAGGCGAGTGAAGGGGAACAGCAGGATGCAAGTGATCCGTGATCCGGCAGAGAAAAGGGGGAGAGGGGGTCTTCTTAGCGGGGAGGCAGGTAAATACAGATCAGGCTATTAAAGGGCAATATAATTTTGCCTTTGGACCTCTAACGTTCTAACTCTCCACAGTTAGAGCTGTAACAGCAAGGATACAGTTTGTAGAAGTTGCAGCAGATGCAGCTGCTCTTCCAAGCCTCAGCTTATCATCAATAGCAGCTTGTGTCCCACTGTAGCCAGGAGCTTATCCTGGAATCTGATGAGGCTGCGACATCAGGAAGGCAGATCTTCAGGGGAGAGAAATAATTATCGAAGGCTACTAAGAAAGAAACTTCTGGATCCTATTAGCCGTATTATAATTCAGATTAATTAGTTAATTTTGTCCTCTGTATCTGATATAACATTGATATAACAGAAATGTTATAGCTAGCATTAAAATAATTAAAAACATCATTTCTGAAAGGAGCAAAGATAACAGATAAAAGAGACTGGTGCTTTGAATTAAGCTGGATAAGTACTGTAGTACATGGAGTTAAGGCTAGTGGAGTAGCAATCGAATTGATTTGACCTATTTCATACCTATACATAGGAATGTGGGTGTCTGCAAAACTGGGGGCTTTGTTGTTGTGTTAATTTAGAATTAGATCTCTTTCACCCAAAGTATACTGAATAAGAAAATTCTTTGACAAAACAGTGGGAACATTTGAATCTTAAGGTGAGGAAAACACTTGAATCTTTTTAAACATGAAAGCTTGACTTAAATAAGGCAGGGATTCTGGCTAAACAGACAGTTCTATCAAAAACACTATTAAAGTAAGGACATGATACCACTTTCACCTGTCCCAAAGTGGCAGACAGAAGTTTGAGGACAGAGAGATGTGAGTTGGGGTGCCTCTCACATCTGGGCAGATAGTCTGGGCAGGCAGAGGAAAGTGAGAGTCCTCGGAGAGTTTTGCTATAGAGGACAAGAATAGTTGTAGCCCTCTTGTTTGAAAGCCACTTGCTTAAGTACTGAGCTATGGTTGAGTAAGTATGGGCCAGGGGAGGGGAAAGGGTAGAAGGGGTGGATCATGACCTTTGACCTGATACACAGGGTGAAACCCATCATTTTGGAAAGACTGAGGCTGGTACACTGGGAAGCCTTGGAGGATCCAGGCATGCACCTACATGGCGAGGGGAGCTCTGAACAGATGTCAGTGCCGGCTGGCCGGCCAGAAGGACCCCGAGTGGGCACTGACACCTGGCCAGGGGACTGGTTGGGTGCAGAGAGAGACAGTGGGGCCGAGGCGGCTAGCTAAATGGGCAAGTTTTCCATGGAGCTGCAGAATTTAAAACGCTGTGCAAGACTAGCAAAGGCGGGGGAAGTTTCAGAGCTAGAAATGGGCTTTCATGGCATCCATCTTCTGCCGTTTATCACTCTGCCACATGTAGTTCTAAGTCAGCAAGAATCGTAATGTGAAAGGTACCTTTTTAAGGCCACTGAAATCCATCGCCTGATTTATACTGTAGCCAGATGCTATTATAAAACTTATTAGTCTCTTTGGTTGATTTCTCCCCCAGGATAAAGTGTGTTTGAGAGTATGTAAAAGCTATCTAATGTTGTAGAATATTAGTTAAAGATGTGTCACATTCATTAATGCCGTGGAATATTT